CTCCCCCCCCCAACCTTTGCATCCCACCCCCCACCTTACCTGCCCCTGCTGAGGGGTAGAAGAGAGCAGTGGATTGCAAGAGGCTGGGCTGGTGTTGAAGTCCTGGAGGCACCAAACCTGGTTGGAGCTGAGCTTCAAGTGGTCCAGGACGGATGAAACCTGGTCTAGACTGGAGCCCTGGGCGTGTTGGACCCCTGGCATGGCCCAGCCCAGCTTGGCTCTGCAGAACTGGATGGAGGAGACCAGTTTGGGAGTGGGTCTGAAGGTTGGGGCGAGTGAAACCTGGCTGGTTTTGGGGTTGGGGTCCTGTCTGTGCCAAACCTGCCTGGTGCTGAGCACTGGAGTGTGCCCAGCCAGAGTAGACACTGGTGTGCACAGAGCTGGGCTGGTTTGGGGGCTGAACCCCTGGGTGATGAAGTCCTGGTTGGGTTTGAGCTCCATTGTGTGCCCAGCCAGGCTGGTTTTGGGTTTGAAGTCCTGGTTGTGTCTGAGGTCCACGGTGCACCAAGCCAGGCTGGTTTTGGGTTTGAAGTCCTGGTTGGGTCTGAGGTCCACGGTGTGCCCAGCCAGGCTGGTTTTGGGTCTGAACCCCAAGGTGATGAAGCCCTGGTTGAGTTTGGGCTCTGTGGTGCACCAAGGCAGGCTGGTTTTGGGTCTGAACCCCCACGTAAAGCCCTGGTTGGGTTTGAGCTCCATGGTGCCCTGAACTGGGCTGGTTTGGGGTCTGCACCCCAAGGTGATGAAGCCCTGGCCGAGTTTGACCTCCACGGTGGCCCAAACCAGGCTGGTTTTGGGTCTGAACCCTCTGGAGATGAAGTCCTGGTTGAGTTTGAGTTCCACGGTGCCCCAAACCGGGTTGGTTTGGGGTCTGAACTCCAAGGTGATGAAGTCCTGGTTGAGTTTGAGTTCCACGGTGCCCCAAGGCAGGTTGGTTTGGAGTCTGGGCCCCTGAGTGAAGGAGCCCCTGTTGGGTTTGAACTCTGGAGTTCAACCAGCCAGGCTGGTTTGGGGTCTGAACCCCTGCAAGAAGACCTGGCTGGGTTGAAGCTCCACGGTGCACCAAACCAGGCTGGTTTTGGTTCTGAACCCCTGGGAGAAGAAGACCAGATTGGGTCTGAAGCCCCGGGTGCACCAGGGCTGGCTGGGTCTGAGCCACGGGGTGAACCTGCTCCGAGGGGGCTCGAGGAACCAGCTGGGGTCCCGGGTGGGTGAGCACAGACTGGGACACGTGGTGCAGGAGGCCTGGCTGGGCCAGGGGGACACGGACATCAGCCTGGCTCTGGTGGGCACCGTTGCCCCTGCCAACCCTGGGCTCCATGAGCTTGTGGTCCTCTGGCAGTGGGCACGTCATGTTGACAGGGTAGGAGGCTGCCAGGAGCCCACTGGGGAACCTCTCCTCCAGCTGCACCCTCAGCACGTACCGGTCCTCCTGTGGGGAGGGGGACGGTCACCCCCGGGGCTGGGATGTGACCCTATGGGAGGGATGGGAGG